CAGAGGATAGTTTGGTCAGTATTTCTCACCTTTATCTTGGGAAGTCCTGCACTGTTTAAGGACTGCGTTGAAGAGGAGGCAGAGATGAGGCCTGAGCCACTGGCTGAGCTCAGGTCACTACCAAATGACAGTGAGGAGCCCAGGCCAGAGGTCGATGACATGGACCCGGACCCTGAGCCTGAGGACAGTGAGCTCTGCCTGGCTTTAGTCTGACTTTGCCCTTCCCTCTGCTTCCTGCCCAGCGGTGGTGGCTGTAGCTTGAACTTGAAGGGAGACATGTGTGGGGGCTCCTCACCGAGGTGAAGTGGGTGAAGCATGGGATGGGAATGGGGGTGGGGATGGGCGGAGTGAGGTGGATGTGAGTGGTGGTGGGCTGAGTGAGCCAGAGGTGGATGGTGGTGCCGCTCTCCTCCCCTCTCTCCTCCCCCTGCTGTCGCGGCTCTTTCTGCTCTCTCGCCTGCTCCCCTCTCTGCACTCAGACCAACCTTGTCTGCTGTTGGCCTGTGGGGCTGAGGGATGACAATGTTGGGGTATGGAAGGAAAGCTCTGGGGCTGAGGCCATAGTTGTACACTGACTGGGTGTGGGCCTGCAGGTAGCGCTTCATGTCTTCTGAACTGAAGGAGAAGTGAGAGCCTAACATGGGTGACAGTGTGGGTGAGGGAGTATAGGGGAGGTGAGATGTTGGGGTCATGGAGAGTGCTGGGGACAGAGGAGGGGCTAAAAGGCCGGCTCCTCCTGGCCCCGGCAGAGGGGACACAGGGAAGGGGGACAGGGGCTCTGTGTGGATACGGTGCGCAGCGGGGCCTCGGGAGCCTGGGTGCCCAGCAGGGTTTCCCGGTCCTCCATACATGCGGAACAGGGTTTCGTGAGACAGACGGGGATGGATGATACTCCGGTAGCCTCCTCCTCCACCCCCAGGTCCTCCTCCTCCACCACTAACACCTCTCTCTCCCCTCTCCTCTCCCGCTCCCGCGTTGCCTTCCTCGATCTCAGAATTGACAGAGGTGCCGTCGCTGCAATCACTGACAGAGCCGCGTGCCATTCGTCGGGCCACAGAGCTGAACATGCCGCCTGGGCTGCGCAGGTCCTCGTTGGGGGAGAGGACCTCTGAGGGTGTGGAAGGAGGGAAGCGGAAGTGTGTCCCTGCACCAGTGGGGACAGGAGGGGCGCTCTGAGGAACACTGCTTCCTGAAGAGACCAAGGCAAGCAAAGGAGAAGAAGATTTAAAAAAAGAGGAAAATTCTGAGAAGTAATATAAAATGTTATTTTGTATAATCCTTTGTTACCATGTTTTCCAACTGTATTGTACAACAAGCACACATGTGGAGCGCTAGGCTGTTCAGGCTTACCAGCGGAGCCCATGTCGATGAAGGGGTAGTTGACCAACACCAGTTTATTGAAGTTGAACTTATAGGTGAATCGTTTGCCTTTGGTCTTATGAAGGATCCTTTTGTTGTAGTAGTATCTGGAGAAGAACATAAGACAGACGTGAAGAATAAAAACTCACTGCACTAACACATCCCCAATGCTTGTGAAGACAAACACACGAGGGGTAAATAACTGACCACATAACTGTCTTATGCCAAAGGTTTGCTATAAACCACCAAGAAATATAAATCTGGGTTTATGAACAACACTTAAACATTTAAATTAAAATATGCACAACGTTTTATTTTGTTCCTGAAGCCATTGAGACTATGACACGAGTTGCATTCTCAAGCATGCTTTAATAAACAAGGGTCTTTCATGCTGCCCCCCTCTAGCGATAAATATTACAGAGTGTTGTATGACATGAGCACAAAGCAGAAAGGGGGGTGTAGAAAGGAGATGAGTAGCAGTGGATGGTCTGAGCGAGTAGGTATAAACAAACACAGCAGAGGTTTGTGTATACAGCATGACCTCTGCATTAGGCTGTTTAGAATCTGCATGAATTGAAAGGGAACAACAGTGTCTGTGCAACTTGTGTTACTCTGTATGTATCAAAACCAGGATGACGAAGACAAGAAAAAAGTGTCTTTTTGGGTTTTGTAAGTTCAGGTTTGGTCAGTGTCACACTCAACAACACATTCTGTCATTCATTTTGCTCGATGGACCCATCTCTTTATGAAACACCAAAGCAAAGCCAGCAATAATTCACCCCATCTTTATCTGTTTATGTAATGGCCATTCTTCATTTTTTTCCAAGCTCTCTCTCTCCCACTGCTCCTGCATACAGTACAAGGCTCCATTTTTATTAACCTTTGTCCAGCTAGAGCTCTTTATGTAACATCTCTCTGCTTTCTTCCCTAGATCCACGTCCACTTTATGTAACCTCTAGTTCCCTGGTTGCCAACCCTCACACAACAAGGGAGGAAAGAGGAAGAGATGAAGAGCAAGAAAGGAACAGAGACACTGCGTTTGTCCATCAGACAGGGAGCGTGTGTGCCATGCTCACCAAAAGCACCACCTGTCCTTTCCACACTCCCCTTGGCTATTATACATAAGATTTAACCAGAGTGCGCTCAGCTCATCATGCCTACCTGCTTTTATAACACTAGACTCTACTTTCTCTTCCTCCTCATGCATCAGCTGGCACAAGTTAAGTGAAGTGTGCTGGCAAAAATGGGGGCTTCAGGGTATGTAGGTAATGCTGAGTTAATCAGAGCCCATTGACTATCATTACACTGAATGGTAGTTATCTAGACAGTGTGTGTGTGTGTGTGTGTGTGTGTGTGCAAGTGTCTGCCTGTTTGGTGGTGGGGAGGTGTCTCCCTTCCCTCCTTCTTATTATGCTTATTACACAGATATGTCAGGCTGTTTTTGCTCTGGGAACAGGCTGTTGCTCTTTTTCATTTGAAAAATCCTACTGATACCCCTTTCTCTCTCTCATCAATCCTCCTCCCCCCACTCACGCCCCTGAGGCGAATGGAGAGGGTGAGAGAGAGGGAGAGACAGGACAGGCCTGCACTACACTGCTGAAAACATTGTTTACACCAGGCACAAAGCTGCATGTAATTTCTGCTCTCGGGGAGATACTCACAAGGGCCGGGAAGGAGGGGAGAGCAGCAGCTGGGAGCAAGGAGATGGACAGAGACAGGCAGGAAGTCGAGCAGAATTAAAACCACAACAGGACTATGATCAAATTAGCCGATGATAACTCAACAAGCTGTGTTATGGCCCACATGAGGAGCCAGTATCAATAAGGACTGCAAGGGAAGGAAACAAGCAAAATCCTTATTGAATATATCATAGTGTCTGTAAACTGAGCTAAGTTTCATGACATACTACTTTTATCACCCTAAAATACATCACACCAAAACATACTAATTACATTAGTTGCCAGTTTAAGGTACTCTAAGCTAAAACTTGTGAAGACCCAGTGGAAGCAAACAAACTCACTCCTGGGTAGCGTGCACACTGATGTGACTTTTTGCCAAGCTGCACTTTACTGTTGTCTCTATCTGTAATCTTGGAGCCAGGGGACATACAAAAGCAGGATCCAAGAGACGTCTCCTCCACACACATTCTGTAGATAAGATCACTGTAGAGCCTCCATGCAAATGTTGCACAAAATGACATTTTTAAAAACTTTTTACGCCTCCCTTTTATTGCTGTGATCGACCTTGCTTGGGTCTCATAGGAAATTAATACGGACAAAGTTTGCATTCAAACTTTGCAGTGTGCCCTGCTCAGTGGGTCTTCACGGTATTAAAACAGCCTTGCTAATTATGTAGTCTACTCTCTCACTGACATACAGTATATCAGGTGGACAATTCAACAATCCAGTGTCACAGACTTCAGCCTCAAAAAGTTGAATCGTTCAACAAAATCTGAGTATTGTAACATTCATTGAGGGAGGATTTATGTCAAGATGGTTGTACTAGACTTCATTAGAGTATAAGTGACATAATTAAAGGCCAATAACAGCACTGCTGACACATCTGTCTGACCCTAGCTTGTGGCAGTCAGCTAGTAGGGAGCGTAGCCAAATAAAACTTTGTGTGCACTTGGCTGCAAACAGATACTATTAATATTAATACACTGAACACTGAAACACATATTTGGAAGGAGACAACATCCTTGTGTAATCCTAGCTGACGGCAACTGAAGCTGTGTTTAAAGCACATGGTCACCCATTCTTTCTCCGTGCGCCCTCCTCCTGCGCTGTCATATGGGCAGACGATCTTTGAAGAGCATTTGAACTCACTTCAAAAGAGAAGAAAGAGATTCTTTGAGTGCCTGTGTTTAGCTGCCCACCACACTCGCTTCACACACACACACATTTCTCCCATATTCTGACTGTGCAGCAGCCATCTCATTCAGCCACAATCAGGCATGTGTGCCCCCACACTGCCCCAGAACGCATCATCCAGAAGATGCCGCTTTATACCGCTCTATGTTTAACCAAAAGGGTGGCTTGAACAATCAGTGGAAGTATGGATTTAGGCAAAGTCTTAAGGGAAACAGAGGGGAAGCTTTCTATCAACTCAGTTGTTACTGTGTGTGATTCTAGGCCAAGGATTAAGGCTGCGATTACACAAACCTGCTGTGGTCCAAAGCCTGATCAAAGCACACAGAGAGAGAAACACACAGGAGAACAGGAGATCAGTGGCTTTAACCAGGTTCAAACCCATTTTCAATAAAATTCCACAGTATTATTGTTTACTATTGTGTTATCTGACATTTTTAATACAGATGACAATACCACACTAGAGTTTTTTGGCCAAATATTAAAACTAGAGCTGCACCGACTGGTTAATTAGACCATCATCAGAAAAATAACTGGCCTCTATTTTGATACTTGACTAATCAAGCAACACTCAGGAAAAAAAACTTGGTTCTCTTGGGTCTGATAACATTGGACCTCTTGAATAATTATTAAGTTCTCAGGATCCAGCAATGTCACTAAAAACAGATCCAACCACCAGGCAACAAAAATGAGTTGTCAGATGATCATTTAGATTTCAAATAAGTCTGACTAACCTAAAGGTTTGTTTATAGCCTATACAATGATGTTTGCTGCCACATTTGACTTATTTTTTGCAATACTGTTATGTCCTGGTATCTCAGCAATTAATTTAGGCAGCACAATTTTACCATAACTGCCACTAAATTATTACTCATTGATCAGGAAATATTAGGACTTGACAAAGAATTCAATGATGCAAATAGACAAATTTCAGTCAGTCCTGAAAACAGTATTCAGGTTTGAGCACTAGTGGTAAAGATGGATGAGGATCAAGTCAACATGACTGTTTTGAAGACTAAATGTATTTAGTACAGATGGTAAAATACAAAAGAGCTGTCATCTATAGTCAAGCTCACCAGTCTATTTCAGTATCACTCCACACACACACACACACACACACACAGTGTACAAACTAAAAATGAATTGAACCAACCCATTTGCGTGTATTGCACAGGCTGTGCCTTGCCCATTGTTGGGCTGTAAATAGGCGCTGACTGTGACAGGAAGTTGGGATTACAATACTCCCCATGAGCCCCATGTTTATTTTCTGCCTCCTTCGTCAGCGATGGCTGACACATACACACACATCCCAGCCAGATCCTACTCAACACACATGCGCATACAAACACACACACCAGCTGCTCACACTCAGGTGTGCGTCAGGTTGGGTTTGACAAGTATTTACTGTCTCAAAAAGGAAATAAGATGTGTGTGTGTGTAGGCATGTGTGCTGGGCTAGGGGGCATGATTAGGCAAGGTGTCACATCCTCTGGGTATGTGCTGGCACAGTGGCGTATATATGTGTGTCTGTGTGTGAAGAGGAGGATCTGGTGAGGGTCTGCTCAAGAGGTCACATGTTCTTTTGGTAAGAATATACACACTGGTGTGTGTGTGTGTATATGGGTGCTCAGCTCCTGTCCATCCTGCCCTCATAAAATAAAGGCCTCATTGAGTCAGGGATAATGACATACACAATGTTCATGTATGCTGAGCACATACATGCTGCAGATAGAGACAATGGAAGACAACACAGCATATATGCTGAACACAAAGTCACACAGTGGTTCTGTCCCTGAGTGCTCCATCTGCACTTTCTCTCTGGCCCTGGGTGCTTCCACACAGTGTGCTGCTGTAGAGAGATGCCTTCTGACCTACAAACAGGCCCAGCCAGCTAGGTGAGCAACACTTAGTGCATATGCAGCAGCAGCATTTCCTGCAGCATGTTATGTGGATGTGGTCATGAAGGTTACTTCAAAATACACATCAGAATCAGTTTTACTGGCATTATTACACATAATCATAGTCCACAGTTCAATCAAAAATAGGATATCAGATGCATGTTCTCATGTGGTTTAAGCAGACTATAAAAATAGCTGGTAATTTACAGCGTCACCATACCCAAGAATCTTTTGGAACAGCCATTCTATTTATAGGATTTTCTGTGATGGCACTTTTCCAGCTGTGGCAGCCCATCACAACTAAATGAATGTTGGAAATGAAGCAAATACTCCACATGTGTGCAAGTAAGCATGTAGGGGCTAAAGACTGTGTACAATGGTGCATCTGTGTATGTGAATGTGCACATGTGGTGGGTTGTTAATCTTTGCCAGCTGTGCGCGGCAGCCCCTCCCAACCTCTGGGCATGGTGATGGAGCCAGTGCCGACTGCTGACTGGGGGACACCAGGGCCTGGAGGTCTCTAGGAGCTGGGATCTCTTCGCATGATTACACTGATTAAGCGAGCACTGTGCAATGGCTGATTGGCAACAGGCTCCATTTCCTCAACCCTCTTTTGTGGATCAGGACTTATTTTTGAGAGGAAGATGATTGTGTAAGGAATTAGGAGGTGGGGTGAAGACTGGTGAGGACTTGGCTGTTTTATTACTGGATGTTTACTTCCTCATCCTAGGAAATTATCTCTCATGATGAAAATGCAAAAATGCAGCTGAAGATTAAAGGAATAACGTCGCTTTTTTATTCATTACTTGCACCCAAAAGCTTGAACAACATCCCAGCAGAAGGCGACTATGACAAGAAAAAGAGCTGACACACTGGACAGCAGCCTCAGGTCTTAACAGTCTATTAATCTGGTTTGTAGCAAGACTGAACAACAAACTAATTCATTAAAACAAGACTATGAAATGACAGTCTTCCAATGTGCACATGCACACTCCTGCACTCGCACAGTATGAGTGTAATCCTCTCGACGGGAGTGGGAATTTCACAGCGGCCGTGGGAGCAGGAGACCAAGATGACGCATGGAATGAGGCTGTGTCCCCTCAACAGAAAGCCAACACACACACACACACACACACACACATATATATACACACGTCCACACACAATACAGCCGTCCTGATTACGGGAATTTCCGGCCATGTGCATGTCAGACAGGAAAGAATAAGATCATGGAGGTAAAAATAATAATTAAAGCCTAAGTGATTAAAAGAATACTTCAAAACAGGCGTGCCTTTTCAAGTATGGGAGCATGTGAGTGTATGCTCATTACCACATGCTGACTCTGGTCTCCATTATTAGCAGAGTCCAGGTTTTCTCCATATGAAGGGCACAGGGTGGCCTGTTCTCCAACAGTTTGCTCCATATGGGGACTGTTACCATGCTCAAGTGCGTCTGTGTGACTCTTTTATAACTTCATTAATCTTTAGTGCGATTAATCCTCTTGCCACATTACTGTTGATGCGAGTCTTGAGAGGCTTCATTTCCAGTGTCGGCGAAGAGACTGACGACAGCTCTGGTGTCAAATCAGGTGACAGCCCTGATGTGGGTGTGTGCATGTGGGTGCTGTTTTCTGACTGTTCTTCTCACTTCTGACTCTGCTCAATTTATAGGCACAGAGGGAGACAAACTGGCTGTACGAGGGTGGATAAGGAGACACGAGTGCCAGAGGGCAAACTCTTGAGTAAAAACCTGTTGATAATCTGCCTCTAAGGCCAGTCCATCAGAAGGCACAAAGAACCACTATATATAAGCACCTGCTGCAAATCTGTTACAGCTCTAGAGGATGGATATGCTATAAATACACTGGCTGACCACATGTCTCCATCCACAGTCTTTTCCTCTTTAATTCACAAATTCTAAATCCAGACTCCATGTCTGAATGTGTGTGTGCCTGTTTGTGTGTGTATGACATGTAGGCACACATTAGTAGTCTGTCAACATGTTACAGATCTTAATCTCACCAGTGTGAATTAACGTACATACTAGAAGCCGTAAATTAAGCAATTCAACACATTTTTCCTCCTTTGTGGCTTTCTACAGCATGCTTAGCCTAATCCTGGCCCCGATTTACTGTAAACAACAAGCAGGGGACACAAGACAGTGAATGAGATGCTATATTTACTGCAACCATCAGCTGAGAAGAGCTCCCCTAGAATACTGTGGGCTACTTTCTTGGTCTTAAAGCAATTTGCTTTGTCACCAGTCCAGTTTGAGTCACGTCATATGTAGGAAACCCAATTCTAACGCTGGGAAAGCAGATTTACCCCGAGGACAACTTGACTGACCCTCAGACAGAAAAATTTAAATATAGCCCAAAATGACTTTTCACATTAAGAAGCTTGTAAAGCAATCCTTTACTACAAAGGTCCAAATCAAATGTAATATGGCATTAAGTAACATTAAGGCTCAACAAGCACGGGCATATCTACACATACATCATAAATGATGGTCAGAAACCATTACCATAGACACTTTTATAACCTGAACTTGAATCACTACCAAAACTGTGCCAAATCAGTGTCGTATGGATACAGCTTTAACCAGAAGGTATATGACCAGCCAAACAGGTCAGTGTTGTAACTCTACTTAGAGCGTAATAGTAGCTAAACTTATTCAGGTCAATACCAAGTGAAGGCATGTGCACCATCTTGCAGCAGTATTATAGACGTAAGTGCTATTAGTGTCGAGGCAGGCATGACTAATGGCATGTCTGGGTGAAACAGAGCCAGAGAGTCAAGGATAACAATAAGGGGTCTGTGGGTCTCAATAGAAGTATTTAGGCAGGTCATTCCTGTAAAAAATATCACCAACCCAGGCCACAGGTGGTGTGCTCAGTTTGAATCAGTATTTTAGAGGGCTGTCTGAGGGGTGTCTATGTGGGTTTCAGAGTTGTAACCTCATTTACTTAACAGCTGCACCAGTGCTAATTATTCTACATGTAAAAACAACCTGTCTGATCACTGTGCTCACATCCTTTTTGCGCACAAAAACCACAGTGCCACTGAGGAGGAGTTTGTAGTGTGCCTGGCTGCATCATAAAGTAATTTACAGAGTGGCACACAGAGGTCATGACCACTGACTAAAAAAAGATCACCCTCAGACTCAGCTGCCTCTTCACCACAACAGTCCAGGTTAGCAAAAACTGCTACTGCTACACCAATCCAGACTGAACCGAAGGTCCTGTACTGAAGCGGTCCAGTAGGAATAGATCACTGGCTCTGACAGAGGAATACAATCTCTCATCAGGCTTGGTTTCAGAACAGACCTCACCTATTTCCATAAGGTCTTTGAATCACCCTTTGCCTGGCCTTTAACCAGGCAGTGATATTTTGAATTAATGTGAGATATTTCTTATATCATAATACATTTTTCTTTCTCCTCTAAACTTTAAAATGTAGTGTAGATCTACATTTGTGCTTTAGCAGACAATAGTTTGCAAGGCCTAAGTAATTAGTCATTCGACTGAAGCATTTATCATAATCATGATTATTGTAGTGTGGAAACTTTTCACTCTTTGGAAAACAGCTCATCTGGTGCACCTGCAGGTCCCCACATAGGAGATGTTAAAGTAAAGAACTATGAATGAATATATACTCCCACATACAAAGAAATGAGCATATCCAGCATGTTTCTCTGCGCTCATACCTCAGTGCCCTGCTCAACTTGTCGTAGTTCATTTGGGGTTTACACTTCCTGGCCCCCCACAGCCGTGCCACCTCATCTGGGTCCTTAATGACAAACTCGCCATAGTCCCCCTGCCAAGCGATGACATCATGATACTCTTCTTTCCTGAGCAGCTCCAGGATGAAATGCCACAGCTGAATCTGCCTGGACCCGGGACTCGACTCAGGCTTGTAGGCCCATTCTGGGAAGGCGAACCCTGGAACAGGGAGATAAAGATAGTGGAGCGTTAGTCATTAGTTTGGGTCAAAGCATGGCTAGGAACAGTGACAAAGTGAGGTGGCGAGCACAAGTCATAGAGATATGTGAACCCAGAGGAGTCCACTTTGTCTCTGTGGAGAAATCCAGACTATAGAAAAACCCAGAGCAGGATAAAATAGAAGACTACACTAACGAGTTGGCAGCTGTAGCTGTTTTAGGTGAGTTGAGTCAGATGTATGAGGAAAAAAAAAAAGAGGATTATAGGCATCTAGTTAAGTACAGATCACAGAAAACAGTGCAGCTTATTCGAGCACAGAGTAAAGCGCTGCCATTCATATTTCACATTACACACAGCAGTTTCTCCTCTGCCTTTTATTACATTTTCAGCCAGTCTTTAAGCAATTTCAAAGGGTTATTGTCAAGCAATTTCTCTTTTATTAGACAGTCTGACAACGGGCAAAGAGAGAAAAGTACGAAGAAGAAAGAGAATAAAGATAGTTTTTCTTAGTTGCTAACACGCATTGGTCAAAACTGAAGGCATGTTCTCAAAACTCTTCACACAGTCAGCCAAACATATGTCTACTGGGGTCAAAACGGAGACGCCATAAAAGTATCAGAGTTCGATACCCAGCATTAAACATACCTCAACCTGTAAAACCCAAGGATGCTGCTGCAATTGTCTTGATCTTACAAGACTGTGTGGGGCTTTGAATAAACCGCATTTCTCTACTGTCATCAGATCGCCACCACAGCACTGCAGCGGTTCACAGAAGGCACATGCACACCGAAACTGTAACACTAAATGTTGTAATGTTAGTGGGCTTCGTGGAACAGTTAGGCATATGAAAAACATTTCCA